TTGCTTTCCTTCGTCCTCCACGTGAAAAAAAGACAACAATATGCGGCAGGATACTCGACAGTTCGACCCATCTCATCACGCAGGCTCCCAGCCCTAGGCTGCCACCCGCCCTCGCCGACACGGCAACACCGCGAGTCCGCGACACGCCGTACTGCAGGTCTGCCCACTGCCATCTGGCTCTTGCTAATTTCTAATTCTCTTCTCCTAATTTCCTTCCTAATCCAATTCACAGCTGATTCCAATTCAGGGGGCCCTCACGCTTGAACCAGGTATATTATATTTGCATTTCCGAGTCTAGGCGCTGCAAATAGCACACGGACTGACGCTGAACCAGGTATATTATATTTGCATTTGGCCGTTTCCTTGATGCGTATGTAGTACTGTTGAATAATTGATGCAAAAATTACTTTTTCAGGATTGTGTGTTAGCATGCCTCCGAGAAACAGGACATATGCATCGGGTAGTAAAAAAAGGAAAAAGAAGAAGGCCGTAGATAAATTGGTACAATCACAGCGTGGGCATCTGCACTTATATTACAAGAGTACTTCCACTACTTCGATAAACCCAGGTGATGAGTTGGCGATAGTTGCCATAGAGGAAGAGCAACAAACTAATGTGAATTCAGAATCCGATCAGCAAGAAGAAAATGTCGAAACCAACATTGACGACAGCAATGTAAGTGGCTCCGAGAATGTAGGTAATTCGTCGGATGCACAAGAACAATCTCCTAGTGTTGATGAACCAGTCTATACTCCTGATATTTATGATCCAAGAAATTGGGATAATCTTGACAATAAAGCAAGAGATGTATTAGTTGAGAAAGGGCCAATGAGAGAGGAATAGGATAAAATGGAATACCGTGTAGATGATGCAGGAAGACATTTTTCCTATGCTCACTATAATAGGAAATTAAGCAATGGAGAGAAACATGATAGAAAATGGCTAGTTTATTCAGAAGGTGTTGACAAAGTTTTTTGCTTTTGTTGTAAGATCTTCAAGTCTAGCAGTAGCAGGAGTCAGAGTTCCTTAGCACATGATGGATTAGATCATTGGAGGCACATTAGTGAGAAGCTTAAAGAACATGAAAGTAGTGTTGATCATATTAATAACATGAACAAGTGGAATGAATTAAGGATTAGACTACGGAAAGAGGAAACTATTGACAAGAACTTGCAGCATCAAATAACAAAGGAGAAAGAACGTGTCGGGCAAGTTTTGTTAAGAATAATAGCCATTGTGAAATATCTTGGTAAACGCAACTTGGCTTTTCGCGGAAACAGTGAGCAACTTTACAAGGATGATAATGGTAATTTCTTAGCATGTGTTGAGATGATTGCAGAATTTGATTTAGTAATGCAAGACCACCTTAGACGTATCCAGAACAAAGAAATTCATTACCATTATCTCAGTCATAAAATTCAGAACGAGTTGATATCTCTTTTGGCTGCTGACATCACATGTTCTATTATAAAGGTTGTTAAAGAGGCCAAGTATTTCTCTGTTATCCTAGATTGTACCCCTGATGTTAGTCATCAAGAACAAATGACTTTTTTAGTTCGTTGTGTTAATTTGTCGGATGGGAAAATAAAAATTGAGGAGTACTTTCTAGGGTTCTTGAAGGTGGATGACACTTCTGGCTTAGGGATTTTTAAAGTACTTCTTGAACCTATGGAGACTTTTGGCTTAAATATTAATGATATAAGGGGTCAAGGATATGACAATGGTTCTAACATGAAAGGAAAATACCGAGGGGTACAATCTAGGTTACTTGATGTGAATCCAAGAGCATTACACATGCCATGTGCTTGTCATAGTCTCAACCTCACTCTCTGTGATATGGCAAAACATGTGAGAAAGCTGTTTCATTTTTTGGAATTGTTCAACGCATATATATATTATTTGCTGGTTCTACGAAAAGGTGGAATGTTTTGCTTAAACGTGTTCCTAGTTTGACTGTGAAATCATTGTCCAACACTCGTTGGGAGAGTCGAATCAAAAGTGTTACAGCAATAAGATATCAAGCCATTGAGTTAAGGTCAGCTTTGTTTGAGTTATGTGATGCTTCTGACACTGAACCTAAGGATAAAAGCGACGCAAAAAATTTATTTGATGCACTTGGTCGCTTTGAGTTTCTAGTTGGTATGATTATCTGGCATGATATTCTGTTTGCTGTAAATAAAGTTAGCAAGATGCTGCAATCGTCAACCATGTGTATTGACTCTGCTTTGAAGCAAATAAAAGGTATAACAGAATATTTTGGGAAGTACAGAGATGATGGGTTCTCTTCAAGTGTGACCATCGCCAAAGGTATTGCGACTCAAATGGGAATTGATCCCGTGTTTCCAATGAAACGTCGTGGTAAGAGGAAGAGACAGTTTGGTGAAAGTGATTGTCAAGAAGAAATTCTAGAAGCTGAGAAGGCTTTTCGTGTTAAATATTTTTTTGTTTTGGTTGATATGGCGGTCACTTCTTTGAAGGATAGATTTAAAGAACTAATGGTGTTCAAAGATATCTTTGGATTTTTATTGAGCTCGGGCACTCTGAAGTCATTAAGTGATAATGAACTTGAAGAGTGTTGCACAAAATTTGCTGAAACATTCTCTCTTGATGGTTCATCTGATGTAGAGGTATATGATCTTATTTCTGAATTGAAGATTATGAGATTCACTTTGCCAAATGGCGTAATGTCTGCCATGGAGATTTTTGGGCATGTTAGAGAAGTTGATTGTTATCCGAATATCTCCATTGCTTATCGCATCTTATTTACTGTGCCTGTGACGGTCGCATCGGCCGAGAGAAGCTTTTCAAAGCTGAAATTGTTGAAGAATTATTTGAGGTCAACTATGACTCAAGAGAGGTTAAATGGTTTGGCTACATTATGCATCCGAGAAGAAATTATTGGATGAGATTGACATCGACCCCATCATAAGCGACTTTGCATCGAGGAATGTTAGAAGAAATTTTTAAGGTATTATGTATTTTTTTATACGCATACAAATTTTGGATTTAAGTGTCACTGATTTTATATATATATATATATATATGTGTGTGTGTGTGTGTGTGTGTGTGTTTAGACAAATATATATATGCACACGTATATTACAATGGCTCGTATATTAGGGGGCCCCAATTTTAAGTTCGCCCCGAGCCCTCGAAATCTCAGGACCGGCCCTGCCCATAGCCGGGCCACTTCCATAATCGTCTGCCTCACTCTCGAAAGGGAAAGTGTTGCTCCGCTGAACACAACGTCATTCATGTGCTTCCAAATCGACCACATTACCAATAGGCACTTTGCTCATGTTGCTCTCCTGTTCTGCCCAACCGAATCTTGTCTGATGCACCACTCACGTAACTCCTCGCCTACCAGTGGCTCCAAACTCTGTATGCCTGTGATTGCTCCCAGCCAATGCCAAATTTGCCTCGCAAACACACAACCCAGAAGGAGGTGTTGGATGGTTTCCTCCTCCTGGCTGCACAAAGGGCATGAGTCTTGATGGGGTAGTCCACGCCTGGCCAACCGATCAGAGGTCCAACATCTGTTCTTGAGGGCAAGCCATGAGAAGAAACGACAGCGAAGCGGAGCCCTGGAGTCCCATGTGAACTCAGCCTCTGGAGAAACTTCCATACCCAAAAACCTCGCTGCATAGGCCGAACGCGCCGAAAATTGACCGTTGCTCTCCCAACTCCAACGCATTGTGTCCTCTACATTCTCCAAGAGCTGCGTGTCCACCACTCTCGACCAGAGCCTCATGAATTGAAGTAAAGCTTCCGCCGACAGTTCTGTTCTAATGCTTGCTACCCAACTGTTATTGTTGAGGGCCCCCGAGACCCTCATCGACATGAAAGATTTTACGGGATCTATTCTGTCTATACACATGTCATACTGTAAAAATATGTAAAAATGTTTTGAGCTATACTGTAAATTGATTTTGCGGTACGAGATTATAATTAAGGATCTGCTAGAGTTGCTCTGAAGTCTATGAACATGACTACTAGGTGGGTTCAGCTCTAACCGAAAAAACAGTCCATGCCGGCCCTATGCATGCCTGGACAACGAACATGGTTTCCAAACCCATGATGCAAAGCGTCTCCCTGCACGTAATTGCTCTGTCATAAAATCCAGAAACCCCAAAACCAGGTGAGAACTCGCACACTTTCGTAGTTGAGGGCTTGAGGCGGCAATCCGGCTGCGACCATCTCATGGCATGCATGCAAAGCTGCCATGCCGCAGCAGCAAATCTCTACTCGCTCGCTGGCAACTTGCCGCATGCCCTTTTGCCGTGACAACTGGGCCATAAATCGTGGCACGCTGGAGCCGCGCGCATCAATACCGGCCGGTGGCCCGCGCACATGGACGCATGGCCGGCCAGGCTCACCATGGTCCAGGAGAAACTTCTCTCCCCGGCTATTCCCGGAACCGTGCATGGCATTCATGGCCGTGTCCCCGCAAAGATTGAATTGGGAGATCAACTTCTGGGGCTAGGTGGTAGATTCATCAGCTTCGCCGTACTCGACATTTTCTTTCACGTTATAAATCCGAAAGGACGCATGAAGAATCTATCTATGCGACGCATTTCGATCCGATCTCCCACCAGAATCCTCCTCGTAAAATCCTCACTTGGGCTTTCGTGCATGTCTTCAGTAGTACTGCGGTAAATACTGGTCTACGTTGTTGTTCGTGAAATTACGTATTGCTACCTGACACCTGTACTCCAAATATGACAAACTTTCACCTCGGCAAGACCCTCCTACAGCCAAGAGTTCATGCTGCTGCTGCTTCAGTATGCGGTTTTGTACCACTAAATGCTTGGCACCTACTCTTTGCGGTGAGGTCAAATCATCCATGTGTTGGCTGGCCTACGGTTCTACTTCTCCACCGGACGAGAGCTTATAAAACCCCATTAACGCAGCGCAGAGGACCTTGATCCTAGCTCTCTCCTCAGGCCTTTTCTTTCTCTCTCTCTCTCGCGAGCTCCTCGCTCTCTAGATTCTTTTCTAGGATGGGTACTGCCAGCGGTGCCGTGGCCCTGCTGCTGGTGGTGCTAGGAGCCAGCGTCTCCAGCTCCAGTGGGCAGCTGCAGGTGGGGTTCTACTCCAAGTCGTGCCCCAGCGCCGAGTCCACCGTCGCGTCCGTCGTCCGGGGAACCGCCGCCGCCGACTCCACCATCCTCCCCGCCCTCCTCCGGCTCCAGTTCCACGACTGCTTCGTCAGGGTACGCGCGCGCGCTCTCCCTCGGCAGTTCGTCGGGGTAAAGTAATTTGTACCGTGTTGACGTAATGACGTGGGAATTCTCTGTGACGCCTTCTCTCAGGGGTGCGACGCGTCGGTGCTGATCAAGGGCGGGAACAACAACGCGGAGGTGGACAACAACAAGCACCAGGGGCTCCGCGGGATGGACGTCATCGAAAACGCCAAGGCGCAGCTCGAGTCCGAGTGCCCCGGCGTCGTCTCGTGCGCCGACATCGTCGTCCTCGCCGCGCGCGACGCCGTCGCATTCGTGAGTAACATCCTCGCGCGCGCTGCGCATATCGGCATATGCATTTGCATGCGTGGAAAGCGGGAACTGATCGTTTTCGTTGGTGCAGACCGGCGGGCCGTCGTTCGACGTGCCGACGGGGCGCCGCGACGGGAAGGTGTCCAACGTGCGGGACGGCGACGTGCTGCCGGACGTGCGCGACTCCGCCCAGGTGCTCCGCTCCAAGTTCCGCGCCAGCGGCCTCGACGACAAGGACCTCGTCCTCCTCAGCTGTAAGCAAGCAAACCAACCCACCTCTTTCCTTGCGTTCCCTCGATCGATCATGGAGGACCCATGTCCCTACCTAACCCGTCGACGGCCGCATGCACGCAGCGGCGCACACGGTGGGCACAACGGCGTGCTTCTTCATCCAGGACCGGCTCTACAAGTTCCCGCTCCCGGGCGGCGGGCTCGGGTCAGATCCGTCGATCCCGGACGGCTTCCTGTCGGAGCTCAAGTCCCGGTGCGCGCCGGGGGACTCCAACTCGCGCGTCTCCCTGGACCGCGGCAGCGAGCGCGTGTTCGACACCTCCATCCTCCGCAACATCCGCAACGGCTTCGCGGTGATCGCCTCCGACGCCGCGCTCTACAACGACACCAGCACCGTCGACGTGGTGGACTCCTACTCGGGCCTCCTCAGCACCATCTTCGGGCCCTACTTCCGGCAGGACTTCGCGGACTCCATGGTGAAGATGGGCAGCATCGGCGTGCTCACCGGCGCCAGCGGGGAGGTCAGGAAGGTCTGCTCCAAGTTCAACTGAGAGAGACCCATCCATGGATCCAGATTCCATTCATTGCGCTGCCGGCCGGAGTACTGGTACTGGTTGGCTAGCTGGAGATGAAAAGCACTAGCTAGCCCATGCGGACATGCATCTCGTGGGTGCATGGCCCGGTCTCGTGGCGCTTTCATGGCTTTTCTTCTTCTTCAATTTATTGTGTACATGTTATTGAAAAGAGAGAGGGGAAATTTAGTGGATTCATGTGATTCTGGCGCCAAGGTCTAGTACGTACGGCCAAGGATCTGTGCAGTTTTCTCTTTTGCAGCGGCTGGAAGCGAGATTAAATTCATATAGCTAGGGTATATATAAGATGTGCTTCTGTATGCTTGTATGTACACTACACACACCATATGTGCAATTAAGTGGAGGTGTAATTTATGGTCTTGTCTTGGGTAATTATCTGTGCCAACAGCAATTGGAAAGAAGTGTCAAATGTTGCAAAAACAAAATCTTCTTCTGGCATATAGGAGTACTACGTACAATCTTTGTACCACAGTCAAGTGTCGAGGCCGTAGCAGAGATTGTCGTCGTTGCACCATGATATATTGATAGCTCTAGACGACGCGCGAGATCAAAAAAAAAAAATCAGCCACTCAGGGACCTGGGGATTGTCGAGGACCAAATCTCGTTGAAAGAGATCCCAAGGAAATCTTTACTTTCGGGAGGTGCATGGAACTGTAAGGAAGACCTCAGTTAATGCGTTTCTCCTGGGTTTACCAAATTGGCCTAGCTCCTGCTAAGTCACCGCGAAGAAAGAAAACTCCTGTGCATATTCATGTGGTAGAATCCAAGCTGCGGGTGCTGAATGTGTCAGATGGAGGATGCAAATGGGTGGCTGAAACACATATTGAGTAAAAGTGTACTGCCCTGTTGAATGTTGATGGAACGGCCTTTGCTTCTATGCTCTGTTCGGGTAGTTGGCGGAGTAGGAAGTAGGCAGTGTTAGCTGGGTTTGTCTTTATTGGGGACGAGAACTTTTTTTCGCATTGAGTAGCTGCAAATTTAGAGCTAGTATTGCATCAATTCGCCTGTCCCTTAACACTGCAAGTTGTTTTTATCCTCTTTTTTTTGTTAGAACCCTACACTGTTTGATTTTACGCGAGCAGTTGTATGGGTTCTTTTTTTTCTGTTCTTTTTTTGTTTGATTAATCAGATGGCTTAGGAGTTACTCCCTCCGTAGTGATCTGAACACTCTTATATTTCTTTACGGAGAGAGTAGATGAGAATTAGCAAATTTGATAAAATTTAACTGCTGTGAGAAACCAAGAGTCTTTAGAACTAGTACTCAAAAGGTAGAATTAAGTAGTGATTTAACTGCTGTGAGAACTAAGTAGTGATCTGAACACTCTTAGGGGGTGTTTGGTTGAGGGATTTTTTAGTCCCAGAGACTAGAAAAAGTCTCTAAAAAGTCCCTAGAAATCAAACGGGAGGGACTTTTTCTACAGGACTAAAAAAAGACTCTACTGAAGAGTTTTTTTTTATTAGTCCTGGGACTAGAAAAAGTCCTAGGACTTTTGAACGACTGAACCAAACACCCCCTTATACTTTTGTTTCAGCTTCTGGGTCCGGTGTTTGAAACTACATCTGCTACCGTCGGCAGAAGGTAGAGTTCAGTTTCATAAATGCATGATAATGGTTAGCCTAACGAAAGCTGATCGGGCGGCTATTTATGAGTCCACTAGATTGTGCAGTTCAACTGCGATACACGGTGCTGAAGTGCGAACGCCGTGGAGTGTTGGAGTGTTTGGTTACTTCCAAAAGAATTTCCATAACCAAGTAGGTTTGGTTACAAACAAGTGCCTTTACACAAGAAGATCAATGCCTACCCCAAACATCTTCTCTTCTCGGGTGTGTACTGACCATACTAAACAGAAAAAGTTTTTTTTTTGAGGATCTACTAAACAAAAAAAGTAACCCCCATCCTGAAAAACGGGCCTTTTTTTGTGCTGAAAAAACAATACACACCTCCCACGCTCCGTTTTCTCTCCACCCAGTTTTGATGGGTACCCAGTTTAATACGGGTTGAAATGGCTACTGGTGGAAAATAAATTCGATGGAGAAAAGACGAACCAAGCGCGGCCTAAAAGAGGTGCACCACATTGGAGCATTTCTTTTAACCCCTCAAAAGAGGTGCTTAAAAGATAAAAAAAATGAAGTTTTACATGATTATGCATGCATGTGGATCTAAATACTTTTGAAATTTTGTTCAATAATACATTGTACTATACGCTGCACAAAAAAGACAAAATTTCAGCCCAAAATCAACAGAAAGCAAGACTCAAATTTGCATTTTGTCATTTTTTTTTATATTTCAGATGCACGCACGTATATTGGTGAATTTTTGGCATGTTATATTGCGGTGTTAAACATGCGTGGACACAAAAATTTGGG